CTAATTGGACATTTTGGGGTGGAAAAGAAAAATGGTGGAATATGTTCAGTTAGGTGTCAGAAACAACATATTAAAAATCCCACCCCCCAGACCCTGTGCTAAAGGCTTCAGCCACCCCACCACCCCCCCAGAAACCGTGTTTTCGCCCTTTTTGGCTGATATCAAGCGATCTATGAGGTCTATATGAAATATTTTTAGCTGAAAATATTTCTCGTGAAATTTCATACAAGGTAGATACTGAAAAGCCGCTCTTAGCCGAGAAAATTCATAAAAGGAGGCGAAAATCATCAATTTTCGTGTTTTTTTGCGGTTTTTTGCATATATCGCGACCTTCAGGGCTAGATGAAATATGTTCAGCTGAAAATGCTCTTCGTGCAATTTCATACGAGGTATGTAACTGAAGAATTGGCGTAAAATCACCTTTCACCTTCAACTTTCATGTGTGAGGATTCCTTGTAAAACAAAGTATTTCTATGTACCATTTATACACGTAAAATAGTTATTTGTACAACTAGTTTTGAAAGTGATACTTTTTTTCATGAATTTGCAGTTTGATTAATGAGGGCGTTGAGATATAAATGAATGTGTGAATATTTTGATATGAAAATACTGTTTTACGTGAATAAATGGTACATAGGAAGACTTTGTTTTACTATGAATATTTCCTCACACATGAAAGTTGAAGGTGAAAGGTGACTTTACTCTTCAATTACCTACCTCGTATGAAATTGCACGAAGAGCATTTTCAGCTAAACATATTTCATCTAGCCCTGAAGGTCGCGATATATTTGCAAAAAACCGCAAAAACACAATTTTCGCCTCCTTTTATGAATTTCCTAGGCTAAGAGGTACACCTAGGCTAACTTCTGTGTATCTACCATGTATCAAATTTCACGAGAAATATTTTCAGCTAAAAATATTTCATATAGACCTCATAGATCGCGAGATATCATCCAAAAAGGGCGAAAACACGGTTTTTGGGGGGTGGTGGGGTGGCTGGAGCCTTTAGCACAGGGTCTGGGGGGTGGGATTTTTAATATGTTGTTTCTGACACCTAACTGAACATATTCCACCATTTTTTTCTTTTCCACCTCAAAATGTCCAGTTTGCCAATTTTACAGTCTCTATCGCCTAGACTACATGTATCTCATCATTTAAAGAAAAACTATTGATTTTTTTAACGTTTATTAATACAAACAATTATTTAAGGTTCGTTCCGTTTTCCGTATACTTCGTAAATTTGTAAAACAAATCAAATTTTAAGTATTGAACAAAAGGACTGTATTGGGATGTCGAGAAATTGTTACAGCATAATGCAAAACATAATAAACGAAATTTAAATACGTGTTACATTTATTACAAAAAAGCATAGGTATGATTCGATTCCACGTAACCGGCTCCTTGATATCCTAAAAATGTATAAAGTTAATTATCATTTGACTTGAGTGATGTCTAGGAATACAATTATTGTCAACTGATCCCGTCTTTTAAAAGTAATTGATACTAAACGCGGGATTTTTCAAGGCGATTCTTTTAGTCCATTATGGTTTTGCTTAGCAATAAATCCACTTTCTACGTTACTCAATGACTCCTCTGATGGTTTCAATCTAAAAAAACAAACCTCTAATATTACACATTTATTGTACATGGACGACTTAAAATTATATTCTAGATCTGAAAGTCAATTAGATAACTTAATAAAAACAAAAAAAAATTTAGTGAAGATATCTGTATGGAGTTTGGACTTGACAAATGTGCTAAAATTAACATAATAAAAGGATCTCCGATTATAAATCTGCAAATAGCAATGAAATTCCGCAATTACTACCTAACATGCATTATAAATATTTAGGAATGAAACAAAATTTTGTTTTGGATCACTCACAGCTTAAACTTGAATATCAACAAAAATATATTGAAAAACTTAAAACTTTTGTTAAAATCAAAACTAAATTCTAGAAATACAATAACGGCTATAAATATGTGGGCATTTCCCACTTTGTCCTATTCCTTTGGAATTCTAAAGTGGTCTGATACAGATTTAAATAATTTACTATTTAGATAGAATAACTAGAAGGATGTTAAGAAAATATAATTACCTACATCCTAAATCTTGTGTTGAAAGACTTTATATTAAAAGAAAATATGGAGGACGTGGTTTAACAAATTATTAATTTATGTAAAAATCATGTAAATCTTTTACGAAATTATTTTTACTCTTTAAATTATTCATTGATTAATAATATTATTCGCATAGATTCTCATTTTTCGATTTATGATGGCACGATGCTTGCCTTCTGCTAATTGACCTATTCGGTGGCACCTGCTTTATCACTCTCAGCCTTAAATTGTTCCATCTTCAGCTCGCACTTGGCTCACAGTTTATTAATAATGCTTGAGAAAAAATTTTGATCACTGACAAGGGCAGTCACTGTGTTTTTAATAATTTCATCGATTTCAGTTCTGTGATCACGCGTTAAAGATTGTACCTCGGATTGTACCTATGTTTAAATATTATGCAGTGCTGAAATACGTTCTACGTCTACTCGCGCCGAGTTCCAAACATCGAATGCATAATAATACCTACTATTGTTTTTTATTACAGGGTTATTTTGAGACTTTTTGTAATCTCAGGTTGTCATTAAATTTTTGTTATTGTGTTCGAAGGTAAGGATCACAGCACTAAATGTTGTAACTACTCGTAACAGGCTTTGTAACGTAACGCTAACCCCCCCCCCCCCCC